CCTTCCTAGGTGCCCGGTTTCTTGTGCTGTGAGTGAACGGCACGGTTTACCCTTTCCAGGGCAGACTTGGGGAGGGAGTGTGAGTGCTTGGGACAAAGCCCCTTTCTTGCTCTCCCCCGTGCTGTAGAGGTGGGATGCTGAAATGGGTCTTCCCTGTGGGTTTTAGGGTCTTTAACACGTGTGATGGCTGGGTCTGCTGCGGCAGTGTAAGCAGGGAGCGTAGCCGCCATCAGGGCAGCTGGTAGGCAGTTGCCCTGCAGAGAGTGTGGGACCAAGTTTCTGGCTGTGGTCCTTTGGCAAGCCCAGCACTGGAGACTGCATGCGAGCCCGGGGACGCCTGCCATTGCCCTGGGGAAGGTCTGTGGGTGGCACGGCGTGTGGGTAAACGGCACTTGAGAAACTGAGCCGAGCACCCGCCTACGTCTTTCTGGGACATTGCTTGTCACCGTCTTTCTTGCAGCTTGATGCTCACACCCATGTGAAAGCTGGGGGAGATGTGCCAGTGAGACGATTGCCCAGCATTCCTCATACCCGCTGTCTGGGGGGGTACCGCCGTGTCGCCTCGAACCTACTGGCCCTTGGCCGGTGAGCGGGTCCAGCCAGGGTGCAGGGCTTTGGGTTTGCTTTCCCCTAGCACGGGTGCGGTAGAGGGGCTGTGTGGTGGGGCGAGCCCCAGGCGCCCTGGCAGACGGTGGTGAGGAGCCTGAAGTTTGCGATCTGCATGCTGGCAGGCTGAGACCAGTGCTTACCTCGGGACAGGCTTTTCACAATGCACCTTGCTGCCAGCTAGCTGTTGAGCAATCCTCCTCCTCCTCCATGCATGCAGCTTTTGCATGCCTCTAGCTCTGAAACCTTCCACCCCCTGCTCCCCATCCAGCTCACAGGTGATGGGTGGTATTAGCTGGGTCTGGGCCAGGAACACCCGTGGGAGTCCCCAGCTGTACCCTGCAGCGACACCTGGGATTGTTTGCAGGGCAGGTGGGTGGGATGTGCCGGGAGAGCTGTTCCTGCTGGCGTGTTTGCTCTGTGCTCTCTGCTCCAGGCATGACCTCCTGTGGGGTGGCTCAGGGACTTTTGTCCTTGCCAGGGGGGAAAAAAAAAGCGCTGGGCACGCTGAGCGGCCATGCCTGTTGGTAGCCAATGCAGCCTCCCGGTGGGGCTGTTGGGATGAGGCAGGGAAGGATCAGAGTGTGGGGGGCCCGGCTGCTCCTGGCGGCTGGGGCCCTCCCTAGCATGGTCCCTGCCTGCCACCTGCCTTGTCTCTCCAGCCCTGGGCACCTGCCGGTGGCTCCGCTGCCCTCCCAAGATCAGAGCAGGGGCTGCAGCAGCGCCGTGTGCCCGCAATGGAGAAGGTGGCAGGACCTCTAATCTTCTTAGGAGTTGGAGCATCCCTTCCAGGAAACCCTGTAATCTCCTCAAGGGGCTGAGAGGAGGGAGGGCAAGGGACCTCTTCCCTCCTTTGAACAAAAATGATGGGAAGAGAGAAGGGCAGCGGAGGGGTAGGAGGGCACTGGGAGTGGGCACGGGTCTTTGCAAGGACACAGCGTTGAGGGGAGAGAGGCAGAGCCATGGATGTTGCAAGGAGGGAGAGTTTGGGGACTGTTTGATTGCATGGGTCCTCTTGAGGACTAAGAGCAGATGCTCGTAGGGTGAGGCCAGCCCTCTGGGATTGAGGGGATGCGATCATGGAAGGCAACCTGAGCTCCAGCAGGTGGTGGGGGATGCAGTGTAGGATTTCCTTCTCTCATCGTGGTGTCGTGCCTGGGGAGCAGACAGTCTCCCCAGAGACTTGGCAAAGCCTCTAAGTATAACTTCCAGCTCTGCTCTCGGTGGACCCCTGGTTTCTTTTTCCCAGGTGACTCTGTGAGCTGAAGCTCCTGAGATAGCCTTCAGCAACACATTCACTTGCTTGCTGGCTCCCATAAACAGGTGCTGAATTTGAGGTGCTGAGCTCAGGAGCAGAGCTAGGGCTGCAGGCTGAGGCTTAGGCTCCTTGACCCTCGGGCCCATAAACCATCCTTTTTGGAAGAGATGGGGACTGGCAGGAGGTGAATTGCTTCTGGTGGAGACTTTTAGAGGTAGGGACTCTGGTGCAGGACCTACTCAGGGACATGGACAAGGCATGGAAATAGGGGAAACCTGTCCTGCTGGTTCTTGAGCTGGCACCAGGCTCCAAGGGAATAAGTGCTTCTGTCTTTGCGATCCTGAGTCCAGGAGTTTTCCCTAGGCTAGCTCTCCAGTATTACAAAAGTAATATCCCGTGTTTCTGTTGCAACTTGCAGGCCCGGCAGCAGCTACAGTCTCTTTGGGAGCTGGGAGGCTTTCTTCTCCTTCCTGTCAGGACGTCAGGTGGAGGGTGAAGCTCTGCCAAGGCAAGCGATGAGACTGTGCTGGCCAGGCCAGTGCCCAGGGGGGACAGAGTCCTCCGGTCCCTGCCGGACACATGTGTTAGACCCAGCGCTGTTCTCCTGCTTGTGGTTTAGGAGTTGATGCCTGGGGGTGTTAACTTTGTAGTTAACTGTGAGCTCTTCCCCCAGCGGAAACTCCTCATCACACCAGGGACTGACTGAGAGGACATCTTCCCAGTCCCTGCCATCCCAGACAGTAGGAGTTAATGGGCCTCCTGCCTCAGCCCTGCCTGCCAGGCAGGTTGTGCTGTCTGGGTTAGGCTGCCAATTCCAGTTTCTACCTGCAGCTGTTGCTCCTAAGCCTGGGAACAGCCTGCCTGAGCTTTGCCCATCTCATGGCTATCGGCCTTTCCCAGTGGTTCAGGGCCTGGGGAAATGAACTAAGCATCCCACATCTCAGAGGAGCCCTGCCCAGCCGGCAGGGACCGGTGAGAGCTGGGGACCTGTCTCTGGGGGATTGGGGGATGCTGCCCAAGATGAGAGTGCAGGGCGGTATGTACATGGCACTGGTGTGGGAAGCCCCTCTCTGGGGGCAGGCAGAGGTCTGGCCAGAGGTAGTCCCACCTTCGGCTGCCACCCCACCCTCCACATGCCCCGAGTCAGTGGGAGATGCCTTCAGTGTGCCTTGCAGGCTGCTGCCAGCAGGCATGGCTGAGCGCTGCTGCCG